TCTAAGCTGAAAAGTCCCAGTCTCTTTAGCCTCTCTTCATATGGGACCTGTTCCAAACCCCTGATCATTTTAGTCCCTCCCCTCTCCCACCCTCTCTCTTCCCCTCTCCCACCTCCTTTTCCCAGTCTCCCCCAGTTTTGTTCAATAAAGAGAGATTCTATTTTTGAACACAATTGTCCTTTATTTTGTGCATCAGGAAGGGGGGCTAGGGAGGGGTAAGTGGAAGGAGGTGAGGGAAGAATGGGGTACGAGCCCCCGATGGGGAGGACTGGGCTTGCTCTGCAGGCTTCTGGGGGTGGAACCTCTCCTGCAGCCCCCCAATTGCCCTCTCTCCCCAGATGGCAGCCTGCGGCAAGTGCAGCCGGTCTGACGGCCGAGTGCTGTGATGTGCCCAGTGTGGGTACTCCGGGCACTCCAAGCCAGGACTGCTTTGCAAGTGGGGCACCCCTGAGAACTGTCTGTCTGGGGTGGGGGTCGGGTCCCTTTAAGCGCAGCCCTCGGCTAGCCTGAGACAGCAGCTCCACGCTCTAAGTCCTCATCTGATGCCCTGCCGGCACTGCTTCCGGCCATCCTTAACCCCAGTTCAGGGTCCACTCTGTGTGGACATGCTAGTTCGAATTAGCAAAACTCTAATTTGAACTAGTTTTTTAGTCTGGATGCGTTAGTTCGAATTAGCTTATTTCGAATTAACTAATTCGAACTAAGTTAGTTCGAATTAGCGCTGTAGTGTAGACATACCCTGGGAGTGGGGAAACAGACTAAGAGGGAGGCGAGCAGAGGGCACAGACGTGGGTCCCTGTAAAATGTGTATCCTGGGAGGGGTTTGAGTCACATGGGGTGTGACTTGGCTGGAGGACTGAGTTGACAAAAGGCTTTTAAAAGGACACAGCTGAGGCATGTGCACTCAGCCAAGGGGGAAACTGAGGAGAGGTGAGTTCTGCCCCTTTACAGGGATCCACGGAAACCAGATAGAGCTCCAAACCTTGCTGTGCTGAGGCAGGCAGCAGCACCAAGTTGCAGTGGATACCTACCCCCACAATGACACACACCGGCCCCAGGAAAATCCAGATGAACCCCCTCTCCATGTTGAGCCAGCAGCTGCAAGCACAAAAGGGTAAAGTGATGTTCATTGGTCAGTAGCAGCCAGGCCCAGCATTTACCACTGATGTCATGCTAACCTAAGGGACAGGGGCCCCATTGGGTACAGGTACAGAGAGTGTCCTGTTTAGATTGTGCCAGTTGCAACAGGATCAGAAAGACGGGGGGTGGAAACTGAGGCAGAGAAGGGGGCTGTGACACATTTTGGGGCAGTTCTCTGGTCTCTGTCATGCAGGAAGTCAGACACATGGTTCTTCTAGCCATAGAATCTATTAACTTTAGTCAAGGCCACCCACAGAGGCTAGTCACAGAGCGAGAAACAGAATCAGGGGTTCTGTGTGCCTCAGTCGAGTAGAGGCTAGAAGTTGATTCATTCACTCATGAAGAGAGTCAGCAGCACAGCTGTCAAGACAGACACCCGCTGGTGCAGGGCACTTTTCACTGGGGAATGCCAGGACACATGCAGGTGCACACAGCGCTGGCATAAGATTGGACTGATCCTCTTCACTCCCCTTTTCCCATTCAGACAGCGTCAGATTAAGTCAGCGAGGCTCCTGCTGGCTAACCGCCTACTGTTCAGTGGACTTATAAGGCCCCTTTACTGCAGCATTTAAAAAATCTTTAGTCAATTTTCTATCACACGGCTCCAGAAAATTTGATGCAAAATAGATTCAAGATTGAGGCAACTTGCCATATGGGGTAACAGAGGCATAGAGCAGTTAAATGGCTTGCTTGGGGTCAAGCCTGGGAACAAAACCTGGGTCTTCCCTACCCTCGACACCATCCTGTCCATGCTCCAGCAGCTCTGGCACTCACTTCTCCTGCCTGCTGTAAGCCTTTGGCATGAGGGTGGCAGAGACAGCCACCACCAGAGTGGGGAATCCGTAGCCGAAGAGGCTCAGGAACCAAATCTTGGGACTGTGGGTGTGGAAATTGTTGACGACTCCGAGGTTGCGCACGGTGAGGAGGAGCACCACGGGATCAGCTGTTTGTCGGCTCAGCGTGGCAGCCATGTAAATGTAAATGAAGCCGCGATCATTTAAATCGCGGCTTCATTTGCCTTTGCCTATGTGTCTAATCTACATGCCTCTGCCGACAGAGGCATGTAGTCTAGACACAGCCAGAGTGAGAAACAGAACTTGTGTGTCCTGTGCACCCCAGTCAGGTAAAGGCTAGAAGTTGATTCATTCATTCATGAAGGAGAATCAGCAGCACAGCTGTCAAGACAGACACCCGCTGGTGCAGGGCGCCTTTCAGTGGGGAATGCCGGGACACACGCACATGCACACGGTGCTGGCATAAGATTGGACTGATCATCTTCACTCCCCTTTTCCCACTCAGGCAGCATAAGATTAAGTCAGCGAGGCTCCTGTTGGCTAACCGCCTACTCTTCAGTGGACTTATAAGACCCCTTTATTGCAGCATTTAAAAAATCTTTAGTCAATTTTCTATCACATGGCTCCAGAAAATTTGATGCAAAATAGATTCAAGATTCAGGCAACTTGTTATATTGGGAAACTGAGGCATAGAGCAGTTAAATGGCTTGCTTGGGGTCAAGCCTGGGACTCACACCTGGGTCTTCCCTACCCTCTACACCATCCTGCCCATGCTCCAGCAGCTCTGGCACTCACTTCTCCTGCCTGCTGTAACCCTTTGGCATGAGGGTGGCAGAGACAGCCACCACCAGAGTGGGGAATCCGTAGCCGAAGAGGCTCAGGAACCACATCTTGGGGCTGTGGGTGCTGAAATAGTTGATGACTCCGAGGTTGCGCACGGTGAGGAGGAGCACCACGGCCTCCAGGAACATCCAGGCGAAACAGGCCAGGAAGAGGTAGTGCAGGAAGCCAGCAATGACGGCACAGCCCACCTGGGGAGAACAGTGGTGGCACATCTTTCACTTAATAGTCTCTACTGAGCATCCCGGGGCTAGACCCAGGGCTGTCCTTAGGCATACGCAGCTGCGTATGGCACCACTATTTCTGGGGCACCACTCTGCCAGGACAGACAGTAAGCACCGGAACCACTGGGGGCCCTGCTCCAGCAATATTTAGAGCTGGGACTCTCCCCTGGCTCCGCCTGCAGTGGTCCCCGACCCCCACCTGCCGGCCCCCCCATGCATTATCCCATCCCAGCCCCGGACCGTCCCTCCTGTGAGCAGCTCTCAGTGCAGCTCCCCCTCACTGGCACGTGCTGCCATGACGTGGCGTCACGGCCCGGGATGTTAAAACTGCTCAGCGGTGTGTTGCACCACTTGGCCTAGTTCCGGGTTCGGGGTTCAGAGTCCGGGGCCCAAGCATAGACTCCGGCCCCGCAAAGTGGAAGGCAGAAGGTTGGGGAGGGGAAAAACTAGGGGGAGGGGGTGGGAGAGGAAGGGGCTTGTGCGGAGGGGGAGGGGGGAGAAAGGGGAAGGAAAGGGGAAGACAGCATGGAGGAGAGACAAATGCCAGGGGGCCAAGTGGAGACAGTGAGGAAAAGGGCAGGAGGGGAGGTGTCAGTGGGAGGGGGGACAGGG